TTTAGAACACGCACGTAAATTTTTGGAACCAATAAAGGAAAAACATCCTTGGATTTCTTGTAAGTCACATTTTATTTTAAAAAAAAAAATTTTTCTTGTAAATTAATTTTTTTTTTTACTAACTTTTCTTTTTTTGCATAGATGCCGATCTTTGGACTCTTGCTGGTGTTGTTGCCGTTCAAGAATTAGGTGGACCAATTGTTCCATGGAAACCTGGTCGCAAAGATAAAGCTAATGAAACAGAATGTCCACCACAGGGTCGTCTCCCAGATGCGTCTCAAGGTGAAAAACACGTTCGAGCTGTTTTTAATCGGATGGGATTCAATGATCGGTTAGTAAATTATTATTTATCATGGTACGCATGATAAAAGAATAATCGGTAACTCAATCTCGCATTTGATTATTTTATTCGAAAAAAAAAATTCAGCGAGATTGTCGCTCTCGTTGGAGCTCACGCAATAGGTCGGTGTCACAAGGATCGTTCAGGATATGATGGACCTTGGACACATACTCCTACCAGATTCACCTCACAATAGTAAGTTAACCGCAAAAACAATGTTTTATTCTAGTTTGTTTGTTGAATCTTGTTCTTTAATCCTCCTCCCCCCCTTTTTTTTTTAAAAAAAAGCTACATTCAATTGTTAAAACAAAATTGGACTACCAAAGAAGTTAACGGTCAAGTTCAATATAAAGATGATAAAGATAAACTTATGATGCTTCCAGCTGATATGGCATTAGTTTGGGACCCTGAATTCAAAAAGATTGTTGAAGAATATGCTAAAGACAAACAAGCATTCTTTAATGATTTTGCTGCTGCATTTGGAAAATTGTTAGAACTTGGAGTTACACGATCGAGTGGTGAGGCTCGATTATAATTATAAAGTAATAAATTGAACATTTTAAAAAAATTCCACTTCATTGTCTCTCGTTAACATTTTAAATGCTTTTTTTTTTTTAGATACGGAGACCGTTGCTTAATATCAATGTCATGTCCCTTTTGGATGTTGATAATTTAAAACTCATGATATCAAATCAAAAATTTCTCTTTTTTATCTGTTTTTCTTTTCAATAAATGATTATATTTTTACGAGAATAACTTACTATATTTTCAGTTTTTTTTTTATTTGATCATTTTAAATTTATATGATTCATACCTTTTCATTTAAAATCCTTTCTTTTAGTTCCAGAAAGATCTATTCCTTTACTATTATTTAATTAGTGAAGGTTGACATCATGCCTCGTGATAATTAAACGTTAAAGTTCTTATCTATGACAGAATATGATGAGAGTATATATATATTTTTTTATTAAAAAAAATTTGTGTATGATATAATAAACCACATTTCCCCTCGTAAATAAATAAAAAAAGAACTAAATATAGATTTATATGTATAAAAAAAAACAAATAAATTATAAAAACAATAAAAACATTTTACACAACGTAAATAAAAAGCGCAGCTTTTTTCTATTCGAGTTGTCTAACGAGTGGAATTGGTTCAATTTATTCCATAATCGTAGCAGAGGTATCCTCCGTGATTTTAATATCCGCCATAAAGGAACTTCCCTCACTCATACCATCAGAATTAGTTTCATAATTCCTATCACTAGAACCTTCACCGTTATCCATCATCGTTAATTCATCATCATCATCATAACGATAATAAAAATCATCATTCATATGATGATATTGAGGATAAAACTCGGCATTTCTATGATCATCCACGTAAACATCCCCATTTTGATTTTGATATCTAGGTTGAGAATACATATATTGAGAATGTTCCCAATATTGAGCTTGTTGTTGTTGTACTCCGATTAATCTTTCCATATATCCTGTATATAGTTTATCTACCATTTCTTGATATGCTTTCCTTCGACTTTGCCAATATCCTTCTATTCCTTCATTACGATCCTTTAATGTTGCTGAAGATTTTGAACCTGTCAACATCATTCTTCCTGACGTTACTTTCATTACATCAAAGCAAAATCCCAATGCCATTTGAACCGTTGAAACAATTCCAATTATTGTTAACAGGGAATTCCATAAGACGAACCTAAAAAAAGAATTTTTTTTTTTTAGATACCCTTTAAAGAAAAAAAATCAATTTTATTTATTTATTTATTTTAAAAGAAGTAGTAGTAATAATGTACATCATAGATAATCGAATTACGAAAGCCATCCAACGGTTTATCGCAATCATTAAAAGCGTCATGATTGCAAACGATACCCGAAAAAGTTTCATGATAGAACTAATAATAAACATCGTTTTCTATTAATAAAAGTTCTCTATTTGTTTATGTGATTCTTGTATATATATTAAATCTATAAATTGTATCGAAGTAGTTAAAGGAAAGGGAGGGGGGAGAAATTGTATGTTTAACAATCGATTTATTTAATATATTCTATCAAATCAGAAATGTAACTTGATTTGGGTACGAGTGTGCACATTGTTGTAATATTAAGCAAACGCGATCTACACAATTATCATCCATATAGGAGAATAATCAGCCATATATGTTCATTCAAATTCTTACTAATTTATTTTGGAAATAATAAGGTTAAAATAAATAATCATAAGAAAAGAATTACTTGAATGGATTTTATATGATATTAAAGATTTGTCAAAATCACGCGGAATACAATGCATCCAAGTATCCGCAAGCGACCTCATTTACAATCGATTTGTCCGGTAAACTAGCCGCCATTCCATACATGGCGGCATTTCCGGAAAGTTTTCTATTTGGATCAGACTCTTTAATCTCTTTAATTGATTCCTTAAGATCCTGCAAAAATTGTTCTGCATGAGGTACTGTAAGAAGTGTACATGCGATATGAAGTGCTGGTGGATTTTGCAACGAATTTAAATTCCATCCTCTAGCCGACATTTTATCACTAAGGTCATAAATATTGAGCGTTTTTGATCCGAAGGCTACCACCGATACAAGTGGTTTGCCATACACAAATAGATCTTCAATTTGGCGAATGCTTAAGAGACAAAAAATAAATATTGATTAAAAATAAATTTTTTTTTATTGCGTTTTTGTTCCCCCCAAATAACTTACCCAGTTTCAATCTTTTTTGCGCATCCTACAATCTTTTTTGTGGAGTCAATATAACCAAGCTTTCCCATTCTCATTAAAGATGCCCAGCATCCGGCAATCAATGCACCAGGGCTATAAATAAGCAAAGTAAAGTTATAGTTCGTAAAATAATAACAACGCTTTCAAATAAAGAAACATTACCGTGATCCGGCAACTGTGGGTGAAGCATAGATTCCTCCTGTCCATTCAGGGCAAAAGAAATATTGGTATTTGCGAAGGCTTTTTGTGCGATACATGATCACTGAAGAACCTTTAGGTGCAAACCCATACTATATTTATTTATTAACGATTAAATTTCAAAAAATAAAAATAAAAACAAAGAATTAGCACAAATTTATTTTAGATAAATAATAAATTTTCTTAAATAACAACATTTTATCATGCCTTGTGTGTGTCACAAGATATTGAAGTTACTCCATCGACTCTGAAATCAAAAGGTTGAGCAGGATACCCTGCTTCTTCTAAAAATGGCACCAAAAAGCTACCCAAACAACAATCAACATGCATTCCTATATCATATTTTTTGGCAATTGCTGCTAATGTAGGAATATCGTCAATTATTCCATGTGGAAAATTTGGTGCTGAACCTGCAATCTGTCGAAATAAAATCCTAATTAATTTAATTTTTTTTTTTTTTATGAAATAAAAAAAAAAGTATAATAAAATATCACATACCATGATAGTGTTTTTATTAACCGCTCTGCTAACAGCTTTGGTATCAACACGGTAATCGCTAGGATCAATTGGAATTTTTATAATTTTAATTCCTAAATAACCGGCTGCTTTATCGAACGCCGCGTGTATAGTTTCTGGAACCACCCTATTGTAATATATGAAAATTGTATAATCATTCGTGTTCGGGTGAAAATTTCAGAATTAGGAACTTACATTTCAGGTTCAGAAATCCCTTTCTCTTTCCTTGCCCGTTCGCGATATGATTTACATGCCATAAAAATGCTCTCAGTACCACCTGAAGTGGTGGTACCACCAGCACTTTCAGGTGCATGATACATGTTAAGCACCATCGCGACAACTTCGGCTTCCATCTTTCTTACACCAGGGAATACATCAGGATGCAAAGGATTACTTACAGAGAACATTGAATACGCCTCATTAAGTATTTTTGAATGATCCTCGCCTCCATGATACACTGCACCAGATACCCGACCTTCTTCCCACTTTATATCATTAGACATATCCTGATATCTAATAAAATATACTATTATGTGAATTGTTATTGAATCGAATGATCATATAAAGTCATAATTACCTTTTTAATTCATTTCTTAATTGTGCATCATTAAAACCAACATCAGGTAATGCAAGGTATCTTGGTACGCCAGGTTCTTTTGGGGCAATTTTAGCTTCAATTTCTGTTATGGCTTTATTAATTTCAGATTGAAGTTTACTTCTCGCACCAGGTGCACTCGTTATTAATCTTAAAATTGCACCACCAATAATACGATAAATATCTCCGAGGGTACGACGTACTCCTTGAACAGCAATTTTATTTAATAAAAAGGAACCATAACGGTATAACACTAAAATAAATATAAAATTTTTTAAACGATTTAATTTAGGAGAATTTAATAATAAAAATGTGAACTCAATTAATTGTCGTGGCGAAGTTAATGAACTTGCAGAAACTTTGCTCGACATCTTGAAAGGAATATTTCCAAACCTAAAATTCGAGAGCTCGGTATTTATTAAACTGTAGATCATGAGCGTGTGATAAATTCGATAAACTTATGGCTAATTTAATTCAGCAAAAGTGAAACAAATCACGAGATTTGGCAGATTTACTCCCAAATAGTTTAATCCGACGCTTTTAAAATGAACTTTCATGTCGTTCTTTTCAATTCCTCCTCATTTTGCCTTTATTTAATTAGACCTCAAACATGAACAACTTTTCTCGAGTGTTTACTAAAAACATTAATCAAGCGGTTCAGGTTGACAATTTTGTTTTATAGCGGTTGAATGAGGCACGTACATATACTTAATTCATCTATGAAATCTCTTTTATAGTTTGCATCTGAGAAATTTGGAACCGCGGAGGATATAACTGACCTACCTAAAGAGTATAAATTACTTGAGCTGGTTAATATCTTAAAAAAAATAATTTTGCTAGGTGTTTAATATCATAATAGTAGTATATATTTCTAACATAAATTCTCTGCATTTAATTTTTGACAAAATGAAAGCGCGTAGATGCTCTTCGAACCATTCATGAAGATTTGCTAAGGGTTACTCGGATTCATACAAATCCATCATATGATTATCCTGTACAACTTCAAGAAACTGTAAAAGAGCTTTCGCGTAGTGTTGGTGATCAATTGAAAATTCTAACTTCGTCTCCCGCTGATAGGATAGCTGAAACACGAGCAGCAGAAACTTTACCACCACAACCAAAAACATATCATCACGCTCTAGCACGGACCTCGGCACAAGGCGCGAATCTCTTGGGTAATGGAGATCCTCTTGGGGCGGCATTGATTAAATATGCGGCCGTACAAGAACGTATCGGAGAACATAGAATTAAGATGGATTCCGAGATCACTCAGAAATTTGTTCATCCTTTCAATACAACACTTAATAATAATATTCAAATTGCTATGAGGGCAAGAAGAAATGTTAATTCAACACGTTTGGCACTTGATGCTGCAAAGAGAAGACAAAAGACTGCTCAAGGAGAAAGGTCAGAAGCGTTAAGATTAGAAGTTGAGCAGACAGAAGATCAATTTGTAGCTGCTGTCGAGGAAGCGACTACAAAAATGAAATCTGTACTTGAAACGGTATCAAATTGACATTAAGAATCATTTTTATTTCTTTCGATCATTTAAAGGAAATTTAATAATAATTTGATCACCAAATTAAATTTAGCCTGAAGCCCTTCGAAATCTTTCAGACTTGGTGTCAGCTCAATTGGCGTTTTATGAAGAAGCTTATAAAACACTTGCTGATCTTGCACCAGAAATTGATGAAATGCAAGTGACACAAGAAGCTTTGTATAGGTAAGATATGATGATGATATATAAATTACATATTTCATTATGAAATATTAAAATTCTTTAATTATATCAGAAACAGTCGAAATGATTGAGGGGATTTCTTATTAATGCGCGCTAGCTAATATACTCTAGTCATCTTAATTATCATAGCAACTGTGTATGATTAGTAAGTATTAGTAAGTTTGAATATGATGGAAGGTAATAATATGTACATTTACTTGCATTAGCAATAAGTTTCATGCGAGAACATAAATTCAATACTTAATTCCTAAAAATTTCTAGTATACAATTAGAAATTAAATGTGTAACTCATTCATTTATACATAATTTAATAATAAATCATTTGTATTTAAACACGTGATAAAATTTAACTTGTGGTTATCACACTATATGAATTTGACTTGAAATTTTTATATCACAGAAATAAGTGATATATTCAATAGCTCGGTCAGGTGAGTTTTGACAAGCTTTTTTAAAAGTTGTCCTTTTTATTTTTCTTTTGAAACTTAAATAACAATGCGTGGTTTTTTAGCATATATTGTAGTTACTTTGTGTTTCCTTTTAACTTATGTTTCTGGATTGATTTCGTTAATAACCCCGTTTTGGTAAGTTCTCTTCTAATAAGTCCTTTCTATTGAATGGTCAGATTTATTTTGATAGTCTTGTGTAATGCTTTGTATTGAACTTTTTCTTTTTATCAAAAAATGTAAGGTTATCAAATCCGCTTACAACTTATGGTTTGTTTCAGGTAAGTTCTAATTAATTCAATAAAATATTATTTATTTCTTCTATTAAATTCCATGATATATTTTACTTTTCTTTAAAAGCAATGTGTAACATTTAAAGGAGAAACGAAATGTACGGAATTCCCTTCAGAAGAAAATGATGATTGCGCGGAGGAAGGATTTTGTGAAGAATGGTTTAAAATTAGATATTATATGATACTTGCAGCTGTAATTGGAGGAATTAATTTGATTTTTTGTATGTTTATATTATTAAGCCGTAAATTTCATAATGAACATGCTTGGAAAGTTGTTTTTGCTTTAACTTTATTTTCTTGTAAGTTTACTCTTTTGCTTTCTTTGTTAGATATTAAATTTAATATTTTTGCTAATATATTTGTCTTCGTTTTGTACAGCACTTGTTCAAATGTCTTCAGTTGAATCAGTTGATGAAATTGCTCCTCATTTCGGAGAACATGTTGAAAATGATATAAGTTATTATCTTGCTAGTTATTCTTCTTTTTATAATTTTCTATTAGCTTGTCTTTTGTTCGTGGTTGGTTTGACATATAACCCTTCATATGAGCGCATAAATTAGCTTAATGATCTAAGAAGTTTGTACAAACATTAACAAACTATGTTGTATTTACATATATCTTTTATCATATACTTTATTACGTTATTCTTTTAACAATAAACAATTCAATTATTTTTTACCCATATTACAACCTTAGGATTAGTGTTGGTTATAAAGTTTAAACAGGACAAAACAATTTACAGTATATCAAATTATATTAATAAAAAGAATTCCAAAATAAACAATTTATTATAGTAAAAAGAAAAAAGAAAAATGATCTATAATATCAGAAAGTCCATTTTTTTTTTTTTTTTATAATCATAGCAATTAGTTTAATTTACTTTATAATTGACTTTTCTTAGTATTAATATTTAATCAAATTTTTTTGTATTTATTTGCTATTAAAATCACATTACAAATTATATAATTTACTATATCTCATTGATTTTATTAGTAAAGTTTTCATCTAATATATAATTAAAAAAAATAAAAATAATTTAAAGTTTTTAAAGTATTTGAGATGAAATAAATTACTTATTACTTTTTATATTTTTTTAAATATAGTAGTAGCCTTGCAAAATTTTTTTAAAATAAAACAAAATAAAAAAAAAAATTTAAATAATCTAATTTAAATTATATTAATATTAATCTTATCTCTTTAACTGTTTGCCTACAAATTTATAAGCAATTTTATTTATTAATTACAATCATTTTTAATTATTTTTAAATATTTAAAATATATTATTAAAAAATTAATAATTTATAATAAATTTTATGATGTTTTTTAAATAAAAATTAAAAAAAAATGTAATTAACTAATGAATTTTTAAAGATAAATAAATAATAAATTATTATAAAAAAATTAAAATTCTAAACTCATATATCTTGCTATTTATCAATCTCAGAAATATAAAAATACGATCTTAATATGATAAATCAAATAAATTAAATTTTATATTTTTATAATTATTAAATAATAAATTATTTTTAAAAATTAAAAAATTGTTAAATTAATATATATTGATAATTATGAATTTTAAAAGTTTAAAAATACTACCATTAAATATATCATAATATGATAAATCTAAAAATTTATTTTATTTTTTTATAATCATTAAATATAAAAATATTTTGAATTTTCTAAAATGTTTTAGGAATAATTTTATATTTATAGTTTAAGGAATAATATTATAAAAATTTTACTAATTTCATAAAATATTTAAAAAGTCACTATAATAATAATAATAGTAATAATAAAAATATTTTTTAGCTTAATTCATGATCTGTATAACAATCAGAAAAAATCGGTAATTTTAATTAATGTCGATCAGGAATAATTATATATATTGTTTTATATATAAAATAAAAAAAACGAAAGAATCTCTCTTGCCATACCCAACTGTACTAATTAACTACTGTTCTAAATGAGTAACCATAAAGACTATGATGTTTCCTTAATTTCAGTAGGAGTTATTAATGCAGAATTGCATTTTAGATCCTTTTCATACAATTGGTGGATAACTTGTAATAAGAAAACAGAATTTGTGGTTCTAATTCGTTTGCATATGAAGATAATGACCTTTTTAAAAGGGTATAATTTTGTTATAACAGTTGTAAAAGGTAATAAAGAATATTCTGAATGTTCGGGATATCTTTGTGACTGTGGGAAATTTTATACTGAGGAACCAAGCAATTCTAGTACGAATGCAATATCTACCATCTATCAGAAAATGTTTTGCAATAAAACCAGATTTTCTAGTCCCCAAATAATGGGATTTGAGAAACTAGCTATCTATGAAAAATTACTGGAAGGAGTTCTATTTCGTTCATATTTTGTTAACCTTGAGTTAGTACATGTTTTTGTATTTGGAATTGCAAAATCTAAGAATAATGAATGGAGATGTGCTGGAGTTGGGTTTAAATCAAGTTTTACATTTCAATTGGAAAAACAACGTTGTTTATTTATTCAAAAATTTGAAGAAGAATTAAGTAACTATTATACAAAAAACACAAATTGAAAAAATATATTATGAAAGTACATCTGATTTAGTATGGGAAAAAATTTTTGGTGAACAAAAATGAACTGCTAAATTGTTTGAATTAATGAAACTTACTGGAAGAACATTGTATGGAATTGAAAATCATTTGACACAAAAATTGATCCATGATATACCTTCTTGCTTATTAAGTGAATAGAATGATAATATTATAGAAAAAGTTTTTTCGTATCATCTTAAATGACGAACTAGCATTTATGTAGATTGGTGCAATTTTTTAAGAAAGTGGCAGGAGCAGGGAATAATAATTGAATTATATAGCAATCTAAAACTGTTATATCCTACAAATTATCAATTAAGTAAATATGAATTAAATGCATAGAAAGTAATACTTCGCAATATAGGATGTCATAATATTATATTTTTAAAATAGGAATCAAAGGTAAAAAAAAAATAAAAAAATTAGTTCAAAATAAAAAAATTTCTACAGTAGCGGTCATAAGTATCCGACCGCCTCTAACTCTGGCTACAAGTAAGTAAATTCAAAAAATTTTTTTTTTATTTAAAAAATACATAACCAACTAACTAAAATTAATATATTGTGTAGTCACCATCTGACTCTATAAG